CGCTCTTTTTGTCGACCGCCACGCCCAGAACGAGCCTAGGCAACGTTTCTTACTTTTTTACGAGCCTCGACAAAGATGCAGGAAAGAGAGCAAGATAGAGGAAAATCGCGCAAAGGCCAAACCAATCAGTCACTCGGCGTTGATCGCTCGAAACGTACCTCGGCGTAATCGCGCGAAATGTAGCGCACTCGCTCGGTAAGAGTAATTGAGGGAGACAGGTGGATAAATTCTTGTCCAAACAGGTAACGCTGGAAAAGAAGAAGCGAGGTTTTCCTGGAATCTGGATGACCGACATGATTAATATAATTGCTCGACGTACCCTTGCGGTGGCGCGAGGGAACGAAATCTGAATTTACTTGACCTACATTAACCATTTAAGCTATAATAACGCACGAGGCTCGCGGTATAGAATTTAGTCGAACGCGAGAAGCGCGAGTCAGGCTCGTGCGTAAGGAATTTTATACCTGACTATGGCACGCACGGTCTTCCAGTAAATCGTAGGCCAAAGGGTTAAAAGCTAGGTGTAGTCGAAACTCGATATAGGATAATACGGTTCGACGGTAGCTGCGCGAGGAGTATGCGCATGGAAGAATCATGGCTAGAGTAGTCGATACTCTATGTCCTAGGAATACTCTAGGTCGATACTCTAGAGGTAGCAATAGAGATTATTCTTAATCTTTTGTGTAATTTTCATGATAAGCTTCTGTAGAATACCACATAACGCAAAGGGGGATAAGAAGAACACAGTATTCGTTTATTAGATGTAAATTGAATAGGTAGTTTTTTGGGGTCTCTTGAGTTAGTAGGCTCTATTAATACTAAAGAATTCTTAACTCATCGTGAAGTCCAATAGGTATCCAGTAGGAGTCCAATAGGAGGTGGTTCTATTAAGTGGATTTGTAGACACTTTCAACAGGAATTGTTGAGATAACAATAAGACAATTACAAGTCCAATAGTAGATTTATTATCACTCACCTCCTAAGCAATCTGCTGCTGTGCTATGCATATATTCAAATAATAAGATTAAGTACCCATTAATACTGAATAATTCCTCAGGGTTCAGGTATAGTGTTAGAGAGAGTTGTAGATACTATTGGGTTGTCCAGAAAGTTCGTACCAAGTTTTAAGAAAAATGCAAAGGCATATTTGAATTTTTATATATATTTATTGAATTACATAGGTACCATTTTGTTTCACAACGTTTCCATCTTTTAAGGGATGGATATATGTTATTCGTTTCCAACCATCTCAATATATTTAAACCTACATCACCAACAAAAAATTGGCATGGACTTTCTGGACAACCCAATATGTACTGTACGTACTTCCATGCAGTCTCAATACGATATACAAACAGTAGGAGTCGCGGAGATATCAACAAGAAACCTGCAGGTTTACTAGTAGATTCAATAACCACTCATTTTCTTAGCACCCTGTTACTGTGCCACGCAGATACTTAAAGAGCGAAATTGAATACACATTAACACTAAACGATCCCTTGGAGATTGAAAAACGAAATCAAAATGGTTTCCAACTATAAAAGAAATAATTCGAATCTGAGATGGTTAATAATTTTATTCTTTTATGGAATTTGTTCATTTGTCATTAAGGAGACTTCACCACAATTATCACATCACCCACTGTTCCCATCAGAGGGATGAAAACAGCCCTGAGCGTTCCATGCAGAATACCAATTCCCTTAAATTCCTCGACAACCAACGGAGAGAAGAATGTTGAATATGAAATTCGCCGCATATTTTTCGTGGCTTTCGGCCCTCTCGCGATGCCCTCTGAACTTTTCTTTTTAATGACGCTGCTGACTCTTGCCCGGGCCGCAAGAAATACGATGTTCTGACCTTCTTAGGTCGCCACCCCCAACCTTCTTCTCCCGTCCGCCTTAACCTTCCTTCCTCTCCTCCTTCATCTTTCTTTTCGTTCGTCCTTCTCCCGTTCTTCTTTTTCGTCGTCGCCGTTCCCCGTCCCTTCCACCCGTACTCCTTCTCCTCTTCTTCTTCTTCTTCTTCATCGTGTTCTTCTTCTGCCTCTGGTTCCCTCTTCCTCTTTCACGTCCGAAGGAAGGGAGCAGAAAGGAAAGCGGAGAGACGTCGGCGAGGCCCCGGGTTGGGCCTCTTCACCACGGAGAGTGCATTACATCCCCCCGGCTCCTTCTTCTTTCATCCTTGGCCGGCTCCACCGCGGAATGTGGCTCGATCCGCTCCTTCGTGTCTGAAAGGCAGCATGCCACACGTGGCACCGGACGTCGACGAGGTGGACGGCTCCGGTGTATCTCGGGCAAATCGAAATATGCTAAATACAGGGTGTCCGAGAATCCTCGACTCTTACTTTGTCCAAGGAAGAGTGGCGCGCTGGAGGGAAGAAGGTGGCGCGGGAGAGGAAAGCGGAGAGGAAGGTGAGCGAGGACGAAAAGGGAGAGACATGAGAGTAACGGAGAAGAATCGAGAGGCGCGGCTCTCCTTCGTGAACACGAACGACACTACCCGGACCGGCTCCTCGCGACGTGGAGTTTTATTGAGGAGCAGATGTTTGAAACGTAACCTATAATGATTCCGCGGTGTACGTACGCGAAACGCCCGGCTACGTACCCTGCATTGGTACCCTGCATCTATGGTTTCTGCCGATGAAAGAGCGTGACGATAACATGTTTTATTGCGGCCCCGGCCGATAATAGCGGTTGCCATCTAAACGGGACGAGCGGTTTCGGTCAGTGACATCCACGGCATTCTTTGCGGAGGTTTGGTTTACGCCTTCTCTGGAAACTCTTTTCGCAAAGGTTCCGTGAAACGACCCCTGGTTGCCTCTCGAGCGATCGTTGCTGAAGCGTTGGAAACCGTAAACCTAATCGCGATCCGTACATTTTTCTGTTTGAACGACGATTTGGGTGATGCGGAGGACGATGTCTGCATGGGGTGTTTGTGTACCGGTCGTTGAGTGCAACAAGTAGTCGCATGGGTACTTGGCTACTGAGAAATTGTGGACAGTGTTGTTAAATCCAGGCCGAGACACTTGGTGGTTGTTGGTGGATTGAAAATAAAATGTATTGCAAGTAGATATCGCAACTACACCGTTCACAATCGTGCTTACTTTACCCTATATGAATACGAATAAAATATATACTTGGCACGATGACTGCCAGACAAATATTCTTGAAAATTTCTGCTAGGATTAAATATTATTTAGATTATCGGAGATTATTTTTGTAACTTCGTCAAAATTCATGAATTTCGTTCAAATTCATTTCCTTTCGTGCTTAACTTTCAGAATTAATTGCTCCGGAATTGTTTCCAGCATCAACCAACCTAGCGATATTCTAATAGGTGGGCCCCAAATTGTAGTACCCAATGTACTTGGTACAATTCTAAATTCCTGTCTCGTTACTGGTACTGTTTTCCAAGGCAATAGACTGTTCGTGGCTGTAGCCATGTTTAGGGTATTATGCCCAAGAACAAAAAGGCCCAGTTCTAGTGTTGAGCAATCTAGAAATCTTCTCCTAGAAAGACTCCGAAACCATACTAACCAGTGTAATTATTCCAATTCAGAACATCATGTTACGTTTCTTATAATATTTTCCAGGTCAATGCAGTCGTGTCTAGGGCCCAAGTACGATCATGTCTTAAGCCTCAGTGCGAAAAGCCCCAGTTCCAATATCGATCAATCTACCAATTATCTCCTAGAAAGGCCCCGAAATCGTAGTATCCAATGTACTTCTTCCAATTCTAAATTCGTGTCTCATTTCTAGTACTATTTTCCAGGCCGATCGTGACTGCGGCCATGTCTAGGGCATGATGCCCGAGTGCGAAGGGGCCCAGTTCCAGGTTCCAGATCGAGTTCCAGCTCGGAAAGCGCGTCGCGTTGTCGCGCCATGAGGGTCTGGGACCCGAGTGTCTGGCCCCATGTGGGCAGGACAGGTTTGGGGGCCCTCTCATTCACGAACATCTCCTCGCCGACAAGCTCTTTCATTGTTTCGCTCGTTTAGGGGTATCGGCATTTCGGACCATCAGCCGTGCAAAAAGTCGAGCGAGGAGAATGGGTCTCCGAGCTCCACGCAACGACCATATCAGGGCACCGTGGACGCGTATGTGCGGGCCCTTGTACGGGCCCATTTGGCCCGACCGAGGCCCCCGAATGTCGCGGGGCCCGTCGTTCCGAGCAGCTTGTATTTGCTCCGCGATTATAATAAAGGAACACCGTCGCTACCGATAAAATTAATTTGTCAGACGACAGGGACGACCGGAAATCCTCGGTTCTCGCAAACCAAACGTCACCGAGAAATCTTTTCGAAACACTTCTCGCGGGCCCTTGGGCCCATTTCTGTCCAATTATATCATTGAAGTTATTATCGTGTTTCGATTGCAATTTTAGAAAGGGATCGAGGTTTTATGGGTGATATTAGTTTGTCAACCGATACGAAGACGTAACTCAATCCCTTTGGATTATTTTGGTATTATTTTATTGTGAAAATTATTGTCGCATTTGATTCGCATTAAGTGGAAAAAACACTGTCCACTTTGATACCATTAATTTGCCCGATTAAGAGGATGGGTAGAAAGATTCGGTTCTCAATACAGAATGTTGTAAACAAATCTTTTGGGAACACGGCTCATGGGCCTTTGGGTCCTGTCCTGTTCAATTTTATTATTGAAATTATCATTGTGTTTCGACTGCGATTTTAGAAAGGGATCAGTGTTAGTATGGATAAAATTGATTTATTAATGCCTCAGAACTTTTGGAACCATTTGTTTAATTTCCATATCTAAATTATTATTGTATCTGTAATTATAATAAAGGATCACTATCATTATGAATGAAATTAATAAAACCCTCCGTTTTCTAAACGATATCTTCAATCCCTTCGTAGTTTTCAATGTTAGGATCTAGGAAATTTTCTTAATCTTTGAACACTATAGCAAATAAGAAATACTTTTATACCGAAACGAAATTGTTTAACCAACATTAATTATTGTTTTTCCTAATGTTTCAGACGGCGAGTACCTGTTCGTCGATCCCGAGAATAAATTAAGCAAATACGCACCGAAGAACTGGCGAAGTTCTCATACATACGTAAGTGGCTCGATCAAATCATGCTAATTAAATGGTTGTTAGTTTTAAACTATATACATATATAGTACTGGGCAAAGGTACACTATTTCTTTCTTATTGATATCTTCGAAGCAAAACAAACTCCGGAAAAAAGACATATGTGAGATGGATACATAACGAGTGGTTAATGTTACGCTGACATATTCATTACAAGCGTTCTAGTAGTCTGCTATAATAACAAATTAGACACAGATTTCCCTCGATACACCTGATGTTTTGCGTAATTTTTAATTCGATGCCACGGCTGCATCACGATGAAATTCGAGGCGAAAGAGTGTGAAGAATACGATAACACGATTGTCGCGTCAGTGCGTTCCATATTATGCATACTTGAGGAATTCACAAGTTTAGGCGATTTAAATACACAGCAAGCGTGACACCGACTAAATATGATACGTCCCTATCGATAAATTACGCGGCAAGACTAAAAACGATGTCAGGTTAAATGTCGACACAAAATTAGATCCTCGAAAAAATGTCAAAACATGTTTTACCATTTTGGCAATTTTAATAACCTTGATGGGTTTACGTATGGCATTAATTTTTCTACTTGTATACAAATTATCATATTTCTCGTTCTCATTTTTAAAACTTTCATTTTTTCTTTTAAGATAGTATTGATTAATCAGATTTAATTACGATTAAACTGATTAAACTGATATAATTATGATAATACTTATAACTGCAAAAGTATTTCCTTATTCTCATGATGCATTCACAGAAATAATTATTCCACGTTGCACACCAGTAATAAATCGATTTTCTTCGCCTTGAAATAATTTTGTAGAATTTATAGTATCCCGATGGTCTCTGAAAGAATAACTCAATTCTCTGGTTCGGCAGTTATATACATTTAATAAATAAATATTAATAATAATCTCACAATGAATTACTAAGTTACTCGTAATAAATATATGTGTTCGAAATTGTTCGACCAAACTATTCTTATCACTACTTATTTCACTCTTTGAATTCCATCAAGGGGGTTCAATTATTTTTAAAAGAATTCCTAAAAATTACCTCATATTTTCAGCGTCCTGAACCGAGATCTCCCCTTAACTCCGAAACATAATCAAATTTTGGCCAGTATAAAAAAAAAACGACATTACTCATGGGTACCCCTGATATAATGCTCGCGATTGGGTGGAGAAGCTCGAACGGTACGTTTCGCCGCGAGGAATTGAGAAAAAGACGATTTAAGAGCAAAAGAAGTTTGGCTCGCTCCAGGCGAAAGGAGAAGGGTGCGTAGAAGGCCCTCCTCGGTCAAATTAGCATTTCCATCCGCGGGTGCACGATGGCGGCCGTGGTTTTGCCCGGAGGGTAGCGCTAAACGAGCGTACAACAGCAGTCCTCTTCAAGACGAGTAGCCTCGCAATATACCCTGGCAAACTCGTCGTCGCCACCACGGATACATTGGTGTTGCCTTTTCGTTCCCTGTTCAAGGCCCAGGTTCCCTGGTACGCCTCGTGAAACACCGATCCCGACGCTGTTTATCACCGAACCAATTCATATTTTACAGACGTAGGTTCCTTAACCTATTACCCCGTGCACGGTAAATCACTTTTTATCAGGCCATTTCACGTGCAACGTCGGTCGTGGAAGTTAATTTGAAGGGTAAACCGGCAAAAGTGCGCTGGGGACTCTTGAATGGTAATTTTTTCGGATGATTTTTCAAATGGCTACAGATTAGCTGGCTTCTTTCTGAAGAGATTGCGAGTGGCAAATAGAAGATTGTTGGGGGGAAAAAAAGAAATATTTATTTGGGTATAATTGTATTATGAAATTTGGCTTTTGGTTGGAAAGAAATGTGACGTAGGGTGTAGGAATTCACATCATTGTTTCTGAGTTAATTTGAACTAGATTTGTAGAACATTGAATTGTATTTATAAAAAAACATTACATGTGCCACCTTTCACTTGTAGGGAAACCTTAATTGCTATTTATTCTGGATACGCAATTATTGCCTGTGCTAATCCCGTTTACAATGCTACTGCCTGCTAATTTCTTTAGACATTGATTGTCCAAAACTTTTATTTGATGTATTGAAACAAAAATTCAAATTATGTAATTCTTCTAAGTAATATTACAACGAGAATATCTTTTCTGACGACATCACTGTAGTTAAACGACTAGGAACCACGATACTTTTCAATACATAAATTCAGTTATCAAGTCATGATATCAATAATATACAACAGAATCAATTCTTAATTAATCAAAAATACGATTTGCAAGTCTGGTACTGACTTTTATAACCTCCTACCGAGAAACCGATTCACCCTTAATTTCATTTTTAAAATGGAACTTCCCTGGTCAATTAGGAACAATTCGTCACCACATCTCACAGAGATGTTTTCCCATTCATTCATACCTGTCGCCCAACAAAGGAATTCTATTCCCCCGCGGGGCCCCCTTCCTCTCAGTTAGCGGAACAATTTCAACGATTCCCGATTCCAAGCTTTTCCCCGATGGCCGGGAGACTCGAGCCGCAGGAATTTGTCAACTTCGCAGAACGCGTCCGATCGCCGGACACCAGGACACGACCGGCTGAAATTGCGGATGGGACCACGTCGGGGGGCCCCCTCGAGAGAGACAGAGCGTGCCGCCTCGTGCGATATCTTCGTATCTGCTCGGAGCGGTGGGACCCCCGTTTCGCTAATGACGGTCCACACCAATAACCAATAAATACTGGCCCGGTAAAACCGGGCTACCGGACTACGTGCTTATCTCGAGGGAACATCGGCCGCGAGGATTTTCTGCAGCCGTGCGAGAGGTCCTCGGCTATTAAAACTGGGCCCCTCCCCTATCGGCGCTTTCTTGGCTCCCCACTTTCTACCAGTTCCCTCTCTCGCTCATTTCCTCACTCGGTTCCCTTACTCTCTCACTCTCTAATTCTTTCACTCGCTTACTTACTTGCTCCACTCATTCATTCTCTCACTCACTCGCTCAATCACTCCATTAAATCATTCCCTCGCTCGCTTACTCACTACTCTCTCACTTTTCTCATTTACTCACGAACTCATCCATTACACTTACTCCACTCACTCTTTTCATTCGTTTCATTCGCTACTCACTTACTCTTATTTCTCGCATTCATTCATTCTCTCGATCCA